TGGCAGAGTCCTGTGGGCCCTGAGTTTTACATTTGTGTCCGAATTACTTTGTGTCCCTTAGAAGTACAAATTTAGGACAAAGTTTGTCCTACAAACACCAGAGAACTAGAACATTGATAGTCACTTCTGTCTGCCTCTGTGCTTATCCAGCATATATTTCCTCCTCCTCTTCCTCCTCCTCCTCCTCCTCCGTCACTTCTGTCTGCCTCTGTGCTTATCCAGCATATATTTCCTCCTCCTCCTCCTCCTCATCATCATCATCATCTTGAATACCTTGTATATCATTCTTCTCTTCCTTCCGTGGAGCAGCAAACATGGCTGTAAGCTAATAAAGCCAACAAGGTGGCTGTTTTGTTTCAGCCATTTTGAACTTCATAGGGTTAGAGTACTAGGTACTTGTGACATTGTGAGACTTGCCTTTTCATTAAAGTTTATTAGAAAAATGAACTGTAGGGCTGGAGAGATGGTTCAGGGGTTAAGAGCACTGGTTGCTCTTCCAGAGGTCCTGAGTTCAATTCCCAGCAACCACGTGGTGGCTCACAACCATCTGCAATGAGATCTGGTGCCCTCTTCTGACCTGCAGGCATACATGCAGGCAGAACACTGTATACATGATAAATAAATAAATCTTTAAAAAAGGAAAGAAAAATGAACTGCAGTTTATTTTCAGAGCTACCCAAATATCCCACAGTATGAGACACAGTGATAGGCTCTTTATTTAACATCCCAAACAACCCAAAACACTGGATGTTTAAAACTTTAAAGGAGAAGGTATTGATACCATGGGATCTGAATCTGAGCTTCGGAACTCCATCCCTCATAAGTTCCTTCAGTAAAAAGTGGGTGGAAAAACATTTTCTGGAGTGGGAAAGATGGCTCAGTGGTTAAGAGCACTGGCTGCTCTTCTAGGGGTCCAGGGTTCAATTTCCAGCATCCATAAAGCAACTCACAGCTGTCTATAGCCCAGTTCCAGGGGATCCTTTGGCTTCCTTGAGCACTGCACACATGAGGTACACAGACATATATGCAAGCAAAACACTCATATACATAAAACAAAAAGAAAAGGCATGGGGGGGCGTGGAATGAGACTCTCAACACAGTGCTGCCACATAGGACAGAATCATGGAAGGTCTGTTCAATTTTGTTACCAGTCATACCAGTTGAGGCATAACACAGGCTAAGGAGCTTGCTTAATTTCCCACTGGTGAGGAATAGCAAAGGAGAACTCAAACTCATCTCCCAACAGCCATAATGTCATACTGTCTCCTCCAACCAGGAGGACTCTCTAGAGAGACAGGGGCATAGAGACATGGAGCACAGAACTATTGCTTCTCCCAGAGTTGAGAACCCTTCTCCCAAAGATGCTGTAGGAAAATCATATTTAGCTTTTTGGATTTGGAGTCTTTGAGGGCAAATTCCTGTCTGTATGTGCTTTCTTTTTCTGAGAACAAAGAGCACTTTTTAAAAAATGTTATTCATTGTCTCTCCCCCACAAGCAACAAGGAATGTGTGCTTGCTTCCTTGCTTTCAACGCATGCTGTCCATACTAAGCATTTCCTTTTGGAGCAGTTCATGAGAGAAGAATGTTTCAAATGTATGAGGCCCTCACATTTCCAGCAGAGATTTTCATAGTCCACATATTTCCTTCTTTGGATCTTTCTATTTAGGGATCGGTTTAAAAATACAGACCCTCTGTCTGAAGCAGAAGGGTTGTGAACTGTGAGTTCCACCTCTCCTGAGACTCCAGTCACTCAAAAATAGAAATATAAAGCAAATGAAAGGAAAAGGAAAAGAAATAGTTTCTTTTGGCTTCCAGTATAGCATAAATTCATGACAAACTGCAATAGGTCAGAGAAACCATCATAACATTTGTAATTCAGCAGAACAGGGTGGCCATGTTTCCCCTTGAGAAAAACAAATTGCTTATTGGGGATGCCTCCATGAAACTGGCACCTTTGATATAGTTGGCTCCTCTCATTGCCTATTGCTCAGATATCGCACTTTGAAAAAGGAGAGATGGCTCAGTAGTTGGGAACCTTTCCTTCCCCTGCAGAGGACCCAGTTTTGTTTCTCAGCCTCCCACACATGGTGCACATACATAATACACTCGGGCACACACACAAACATTTAAAATTAAATAAGTGAAGACTTAAAAAAATATTGGTTATGGGCACTTAATAGCTGCTTAGATAGAGAGAGAATTAGTCTTCCCCAGGGATGAGCCTCATAATTAGCTATCCAGAGCTGTGTGGTCAGCCCTGAAATCATTACATACAAACAACACTAAAGAGACTCAGCAGGCTGCACGTACATAGTTGGTCATTAATACATACAGTACTGGGGGGGGGGAGGGAAATACATACAGTACTATGCATTAAAAGTATCACCTAAAGAGACCATGAACTAGAGGAGAACAAGGGGGGATATTGAAGGGGTTGGAGGGATAAAAGGGAAGGGGGAACTGATGCAGTTATATTTTAATTTTAAAAATTACAATATAAGCTGGGCATTGGTGGCGCACGCCTTTAATCCCAGCACTCAGGAGGCAGAGGCAAGTGGATCTCTATGAGTTGGAAGCCAGCCTAGTCTATAGAGTGAGTTCCAGGACAGGCTCCAAAGCAATACAGAGAAACCCTGCCTTGAAAAAAAATTACTCTGTGTGTGTGTGTGTGTGTGTGTGTGTGTGTGTGTGTGTGTGTGTGTGTGTGTGTGTGTGTTGCTACTACATATTTAGTAAAAATATCAAACTGTAGCCCCAAAAGTTTATATGTATATGTATGTATGCACATATACATGTATATATTCAGGATCCAGAATATTTCCCCAAATCCTTGAGCAATGGTTGACTGTGAAGCCTGGTTTATGATATCTTCCAGACTAACTGTAATTGAAGGACAGGTTTTTTATTTTATTTTTTTATGGCGTCTCCCCAACCTATTTCTCCCTGCCCAGGTAGCCCTCTTTAATGACGTCATTGTCCACTGAGGATCATCTAAGATTTTGTGGCATTTGTGCCTTTTCTTTACCTGTTCTGCCATAGAGCCCAGCACAGCCTTCTCAGACACTTCTTGTCTGAGACCACATAGGGGAGCTCTTTTTCTTTTTCACCTGACTATGGGACACCAGTGAGTGTGAAACCACCAGACAGACGAAGTCTCGAGGCTCCCTGGGGGAAGGGCTGCTTACAAATGAACACACTTCTGTGCAACTTGGCAAAAACCAAGACCCCTGACAATGAAACCAGGTGCACATCGTTTAACTTGGTATTCATGCAAAGCAGCCTGACTAACCAGTATGGCATGTCTGTTACTCCAGGTGACTGTCACAAAATCCTCAACGCTAACATAAGGAACCTTCCAATGACAAATTCCTAGGAATCACTAAGGGTCAGTGAGCAGACTCATTGGGTTAACTCTTTCTTCACAGTTGGGAGGGTCTGACAAATCTGACTGAGACTTGAACAAACCACTTCAGTGGTAGAGGTCAAAGACAACTTCTGCCACCTGGAGGCCGATCATGGGTTTGACGAGAAAGCACCCAGCTGTAATTTTTATTTTTTAAATCACTCTCTAATTTTACAGCATGTGCTGTATTTATCTTGCAAGCAAGATAAATTCTTGCTTCAAAAAATGTGAGCCTCCCTTCAACTATAAGACTGAATAAGGGGCACTGATTCATTTGTCAGTTATGTGGAGTACATTGCTGAACTGCAGATAAACTCCTGAAAAGGAAGGCGTGAAACTTAATAGGAAAAGGGGGAGGTGGGTGATGAGGTAGCTAGAAACAGGGGTGATGAGTTGGGTCAGTCATAAAAGCAAGCTGGTGTCCTGTGTGAATGTCTTCAAAAAAAAAGGAAATCCAAAGAACAGTTTATTACTCTCATGGGATTGTTTTATTGAGATATACAAGGTGATGTTTTCCTTGCCAGGAGCCACCCACACTGGTGAGGCCTGAAAGGGTTTTCATGGATCCTCAGTAATGGTGCCAACAGTGGAACACCGGTGTCACAGTTCCTAGACCATCACCATCACACCCTTCCTGTGTAAACTATTCAGGACTGGCAGCATGAATGAAGGTGCCCTGCCACCTTTATCTGGAGACCAGGGTACAGGCTTGACTCTGTTCTGGCCTCTCAACAAGCTGCTTTTGATATCTGCAAGACCCAAACATCCTAGCCCAAAGTTCTACCAGCCACTTTCTGCTTAAATTAAGTAGCAAGCTTCCTTCCCCTTCCTTCAATCAATTAATCAGTCACATCTCCAGGTGAGAGGGTGTCCAACCCAAGACACACAGCCTTAGTTCTTTAAGAATATTTCTTGAATATTCCAGGGGCTTTTGTGGAACCACCTGGAAATGGCTGGCTCACTGAATAGGGTGCCATTCCATACTGAGACCTACCCACATATATCTGTAATTTTAAATAAACTGGTATTGAAAATGTAGTGTAACAGAAAGCCTGATCTTGGAACCAATGTTGACCGCCATCATCATTCCATGTTAACCGCACTGTAGGTGTCCAGTGAATGCCTGTTAAATACCTAAGAGCTCTGTCACATCTTGTAATCACATTGCAAATTTGGACATTCATATCTCAGGGCTTTGTCTATGGGAGCTTCTTAAGCTATTTTTGCTTTATATGCCCTAAGCCTGTAAGTTCCAGGCCATACTCGAGTTATCTGTAGTTCCTAAAGAACCATGCTGCCACACAACACACACCCATCAAAACCAACCTTCCTTTTCTAAGTGTGCACTAGGGTAGCTTCCTAAAACCAAACAGCACTGCTGTGGACTTTGTCATACTAGAAAAAGGTGGTTATCTCCAGCAGAGATAAGCCTACATCTCCGACTACACAGTAACTCTGTAATCTCAGGAAGCTCTGTAAACCAAAGTTGTCTTCCAGAACTGGAATCCCATTATATGGACACTTCATGAGTGCTGGGCAGTTTTTTTTACAAGGCACCTGATATACCTCATCCCATTACCAGAAAAAGAACTACAGTCAGGATTAAGTATGTATTTATTTTAGTTCAGTTAAAACAAACATACATTGTTTCATTGAAACCGGTGTAGCACTCCTTGCCAACAAGCCACAGTGGCATGTTAGCCTCTAACAGTACAGTGGAGACATTTACACTATATACACAACCAAGGCTCTCACATCTTTCATTGTGATCACATTTTGACATGTTTTCAGGTAACATGTTATAGCTACTGCATTTTGAAAATTTAGACCTCATTTAAAATTTAAATAGGACTTGAACTTAAGTTGATGTCCGATCAGTTTATTGCAAATACAATTTAAACAAGTATCTTCAATTTCAGCATTTATACACAATGTCAATTTGTAATATTGGATTCTCTATACAAGTACTTTGGGGGCTTATATATAATGTAAGTTCATCAAAATGCAGTTAAGAAACTTACGGGAATATATACATTTGAACCCAAGACCCAGTTCCAACAGTATATACAATCTATTTACAAATACATATGGACAATGTATGTACAGTTTATCATAAATATTGAAAAATAGGTTAGCTTTAATGGATTAATGCTGCTCTATAAATAGTACAGTTATAACTGAAATGTCCATGGAAGACAGCAATGCAAAATGAGGTGACAGGACAGTGGTTTTAATACTGAAGACTGCTCATGGATGGGAATTCAGTTTAGGAACCTCAAGGCTGATAAAATAGCCTTAAGTGTTGGAATTTGGCCTAAAAAATTCGTTTTGAACCTTAAATTGTGCTCCCTCACAAAAAGGTTAGGAAAGTCTCTCCACACTGATTGGCTGTGAACAGGATCTTTTTCTCTTCCACTTACTTCTTCCTGGTTGCCATGGCACCTTCTCTTGGATGCTTGTTTCTCTGCATCCCTGGCAGGTCTCATCAGCAACTCTTTCCAGGACTTCAAGCAGAAATACTAACTCTTGAACTACAGGTGAGGTTCTGGATTTGAGTGACATGAAAGCAGCGTGGTAGAGTGTCTTCTCACTGCCTCTGCTTCTAGATGGTCCCCAGATTTCATCTTTGGGACAAAATGGACCATTGGTCTTACCCAATGAAGCACTACTAGATGTCTTCCGGTCTGCAGGTGTCTTGAATAGCAGACACATCTTGACTATGAATTTAGCCACATATACAAGACTGTGTAACAAAAAACCATGTGTGCCACATTTCTGACCCTGGTGCCTCAAACTAAAAATATTTAGTTCAAGAGATAACCTCAAGAGTCAGATGGCCAATTGATGATTCCACTTGCTTCCCTCAACCACTTAATGGAATTATGTTATATTAGATCTTAACATTATGCCTGATGAGCAAAGTACCACATTTTTTAATATATTCACCATACACCGTTAACATACAATAAATGTGCTCCTAAAGCCAAGCTTCAAAGTAATGTTTTCACTTTTAACTGGAATTGAAATGGAAAGGTAAGCATGCAGTTGGACCAGAAACTAAGTACAACCATGTTGTACTATTTCCCCTAACTAATCATTTGTTCGATGTAAACAAATAATTCTGCATTGTACAAGAATGAGATGACAATCCAGTGCGAGTTTTTAAAAAGCTTACTGCATGGGAAACCCAGTGGTCTTTCTGACGAGAACTCGCAGTGTGCTGGCCTTGGTGCAGCCTGTGGGTCAGACCTCTACTGTAGACACACAGCAGGAACACAATTGAGCCATGTGTTGTCAAGTAAATCACGCTTCCAGTAGGGTAAGCATTCGAAAGTTGTACTTCCTATTGGAGAGTTCTGACCTACTGCCATCAGTAGGTGCCCATTTTCACTTCTGGAAGCAGTATTTTAAAGGGCAGGCCCAAAGCTTAACCCAGAGCTGACAATACAACTCTGGAGACAGACGCAACTGAATAAACCCTGTTTTACCCAATTGCACTAATTATTTGGTACCTCAAAAGTCAGTTATTTCATTTCCAACAGAAATATCTGCATTGTTTTTCAGCCTAATAGGTTGAAGACATAAACATCTTAGTTTTAATGAACCAATTATCTGGAGGCAAACAAAGCAATGAACAGTGTTCACCTGATTTGGTGCAGCAGCTACCAATTATCCTTTAAATGAAATTTGAATGAACAAAACAAAACTATGCTAATTCATGGTACAATTTTTCTTAACATTTTCCCGAAAATGATTTTGGGTAAAAAAGTATTTGGCTTATAATGCCTACAAAAAAGGCAAATAATTTCATAATACTAATATTCATTTTTAAATATAAATGAAATTGCTTTACGGAGTTTATCGACAACTGGTTCTGGATAAAGTTCAAAAAATGCAACTTCTTCAAAGTAAAATAGTGCTTCTGAGGTCTTTTAAAGTATTTTTTGGTACAAAAAATAAGTGTTTTTCTCAATGCTTATTTCAATACTTTGCTGTAAATTAAGTATTTTTCACATCGAATGGTTCCGTTAGGCACATTCAAGTAAAATCATAAAATATCCAAGTTAAACAATGACACAGCCAAGCATGTGGCTTGATAAAAAGTTAAAAGTTCGTCCATTCTCTGGAATGGAATAAATAGTCACTTCCCTTAACCCAAGACTCGTGGTTTTGCTGTTAATATCCATTCCCTAACACACAGATAAGTTTCTTTAAAAATAAAAAAAAATAAAAAACAAATAAAAACGAAACGAAACAGAAGTTCCACTTATTCTGCATCCAGAAGAACCAGCGAGGAATCTGCACTTCAAAAGGAAGTGAACCAAAAGCATCAGGTGAAATTTCTGAGCAAGTTGAGTGTTGACTCAACACTGGCGGCAGATGGACCATTGAGTTTGAGTGGTGCCATTAGTGGCCACCTGTAGAGGCATTGTGTACCCAATCCAAAACAATCAAGGCTATGCTTCCAAACATCACCACTATGCCGCTTACGAGAAACAGCAGAGCCTGGAAGAAGAGGAGAAAACACATCGTTACAACATTACCAACTGCTTTAAGTGATCAAACTTGTAGCACAAAAGGCCTATGTTGTTGATATCTTTTTGAACTTCTTATTTTTCATTCTTTCTCCCTCAAACAAAAAGCTTTCCTGCTGAAACAGAGTTGGACTGACTGTATGTGCAGGTTTTGATTTTGAAGGGCAAGCGGCATGTCACAAAACCAAGCCTGAATCTTAAGATTTGGAGGGAATAAGGATGGACATTTTCTTGAGTGCTACAGCTACTCACACACCTGTAATTCCTCACCCATGTCCCTATAATCAATACTCATAGACTTAAGGAGTTGGACTGCAATGAGTCTTTTTCTATCCTGCCAACCAACTCCCAAATAAAGACATGGAGACTTATTAATTATGAAAGCTCACCCTATAGCTTAGGCTTGTCCCTAAACAGCTCTTATAAATCTATGTCCTATCACATGGCATTATCTCTCTTCCATCTTGCACCTCCTGTTTCCTTTCCTCTTCTTCCTCTCCCCAGAAAACCTGCCTGTACATCTTGCCTAGCTATTGGCTGTTCAGCATTTCATTACACCAATCACAGCAATACACCTTCACACAATATCCCACGTTACACTTCAGCTTGCAGGTACTGCCTGTGCTTAACAGTTTGTCTCCTCAAGAAAAGCTCACCCCCATTTACTCCTAACACCTCATTCTTCATATCAGAATAGTAGTGGACAGTAGGGCTGGTAGTCAGTCTTTCATTCCACTAGGATTCTGGTACCAAAGGTGCTCCTCAAGAAAAGCTCACCCCCATTTACTCCTAACACCTCATTCTTCATATCAGAATAGTAGTGGTCAGTAGGGCTGGTAGTCAGTCTTTCATTCCACTGGCACCTTTGGTACCAGAATCCTGTGCTTAGCAGTTTCCCCTTTGAAACAAGATGCTACTAAACCTAAGAATGAATACACCCGTGAACCCGTTCAATGCAGAAGAGCTCTGAATGGCTGTCTCATTTAACTAAACACACCTCAACTTCCTGTAGTCTAGACACTTGATGTGCACACTAGCAACTATCATACAGAGCACAGATAATGTCAGTTCCTCTACACTGTTCAATCTTTCTTTGATAAACTTTCTGCAATTACGTTATCTGTTGCACAGCAAATTTCAACCTCCCTCTGCCATCTCTCCTGGTAAGCGCTTCATTACTGAAATGTCACAAGACAGACTGAAAATCACTACTGACTCGACAGTCACTGCTCACTCACCCCGATCTTCTGCACGGATCTCAAAGATTCCTTCTTCACTAACTTGATGTAGAAGGCAGATGGAAGAATAAAAATCAGCATTGCAGCTGCCGATGCACCTGTAAAAGGACGTTTATATCCTTTGAGAACTTGAGTCTCTATCTTAAGCCTTAATATCCCAGGTACATAAATCAAAACTTACCAATGAAACCGAAGATATCCCTAATGGTAGGGACAAAGATGACAAGCAAATTGGTAAAGGCCAAGATAGCCACAGTGATGACACTGTGACGCCACCAACTGAACTCTTTTGCAGCACATAGTAAGTGAGTGATGGAACTCCGGATCTGAATAAAAAAAAAGAGAATTTCGTTTATTATTTAACAATCCAACTTTAATTAATGCAAAGAATTCCCAAGTAATTTAGAACATATCCATGACAGTTCTCTAGAGAACTGATAACTCTCTCCTGTTTTCTGCCACATGGTCATCTCGAATCTACACTGTAAAAACCCAGAGACAGATATTGGGGTTCAAGCTGAAGATCAGAAAAGCAAAACAGCCAGCCACTAGCTCTTACCTCTACCTTAGACTGAAAGGACTGTCCTGTCTCCAATAACCCTCAGCATGGCTGGAGACTGAATGCCACATGAGACCCAAAACTGTCTTATATACCTCTTACATATCTCTTATATACCTCTCTAGTGCTGAGATTTAAAGGCATACACCGCCACTGCCTGCCTCTTTGCATTCTAATCTTCAAGCAAGATTTATTAGATCATAAACAAAATATCACCACACTACACTGTATTTTCCACCCCTGACAAATCATCCCTAACATGGCTGTGCTGTGAGTTTCCCTCCTTAAACCTCCACGGGCAGACACATCACAGCTGTTGCAGGAGCAGGTGGTTACTTACTGGGAAAATAACCACTGGTACTGTGAGGGTGACAGCCATCAACACAGCCAAGCGGACAACAAGGAGAAGAATGTCAGTTCCCACGACTTTAGAATAGGTATGAAGCAATTCGGACTCGACCTGTCCTGTGGGGACACAGACCAGAAAAAAAAAAAGCTTTCAGTGTGGTTTTCTCCGGGGATCAAGGAGAAAAGCTAACTTACAGTGAAATTTGCACTAAAATGATTAGCTACTCACAAAATGACTGTAAACTAAGAGGCTGATAAGATTAATCTGGAATTATGGCTAATGCAATTAAAGTAACATTGGAGGAAAAATTTTCTAATACCGAGATTTAGCCACATGACCTCCAGTAAGAACAGGGGCTAAGCACCTAAATCCCACTCTGGTTTAGTGTGTTTGTGCGTGCACATGCACGCTGTGTGTTATGTTAGTTACGCTAAAGAGGGGAACAGAGGCAGTGTGAGCACAATAGAGGCAAGGACATCACAGAACCGTCACCAAGTGGCTCATATCTGCTCTAAATCTGAAGCCCAGAATTACAGCTTAAACCAGATTGGGACTTTTTACAGTAAAACTACACATACAGTATCAGTTTCACTCCAGCAAATGAGTCTTTCTTAGGTTAGGCATTATTTACCATAAAATGTCAGGTATCCAAAGAGAGCAGCGAGCAGATACATCAGAAACATGGCGAAGAACGAAATCTTGGACACATTCATCATCCTCCTCCGGCTGCGGCTGCGCGAGCACAGAAGAAAGCAGAGTGTGTTGGCCAACGAAACTAGCAAGCTACCACCCACCCACTGCTTTAGTACGTTCCCAATCCATGCAGTCAGAAGAGACAATTACCCTTTCAGCTCTTCATAGATGGGAAGGACAGCAGGATGGCAGACAAAAGAAAACGTCAGGATTGGCACGGCATACACGGTCTGAAAAAAGACACACCGTTATACTTACAACCCTGTGACACACCCTTGTCAGCTCCCAGCTGGGCTTCAGAGGATTTAAAAACCAAAGCCCAAAGTAATTCACTTTTGTGTGATAACTCCCATTCTGGGTATCAAATCTGAAATGTGCTACTTTGATGCCACGCACTTATTTCACTTGTGTTCCTGGCCTACGGGAGAATCTCAAACTTTTGTGTAGTTCCCCACCCCCCACAAAAGCATCTGTCACCCAGCCTCAATTTAAAGAGATACTTTAAAATTCCTAATGGGCGGGTTTTTTTTTTTTTTTTTTTTAATCGTATCCTTCCTTAAGAATTCCTCTGAAGAGAGGCAGGCAGATCTTTGTGAGTTCGAGACCAGCCTGGTCTACAAGAGCTAGTCCCAAAGCTACACAGAGAAACCCTGCCTTGAAAAACCAAAAAAATAAAAACAACAACAACAACAATTCCTGTAAGAAAACAGGACTGCAACTGGTTACCTGTGAGTTGAAGATAAAGTAACGTGGCCTGCAACAATCTGCTGTGGTGGTGGCGTTTAATGTCACGTTAGATGCCAGGAGTGCCAGTGCTGATGTGGCGTTCACAGTTTCATTGACCATCAAAGCTTCAGGACAAGGAATTTGAAACTTCTTGCAAATCACCTAAAATGTATTTTGTTTGTTTGTTTGTTAAGCTGAGTCCTTTGCCAGAGCTTTAAAGGGACATTTTCTAAAAGGAAAACCATTACCTACCACGATCAGAAAGAACATCATACACAGCAAGGAGAGACCACTGGTGTACCCCAAGTACCCTGGAGAGGTGGAAGAGAGGGGCTTTGGATTAATCAACAGGGATGGAGAGCACAGAGCGCAAGACAGCAGGGCCACTGATAGAGTGTTATGACCAGTTGGGCGCTCCACTGCTACATTTTAAAAGGGTCTTGTCCCACTGCCATCCAACAAACAGTAGTCTTCTAGCCTGCAGTCATTTCTGGTAGGCTGCTAAGTAGCTGGTGAGAGGCTCACCGCAGCACCCTTCAGAAACTGCTGGATTGCCAGGCCAGCATCGATGGCACACGCCTTTAATGCCAGCACTCGGGAGGCAGAGACAGGTAGATCTCTGTGAGTTCGAGACCAGCCTGGTCTACAAGAGCTAGTTCCAGGACAGGCTCCAATGCTACAGAGAAACCCTGTCTTGAAAAAAACAAAACAAAAAAACAGAAATGTGTTTGGCTCACCTAGATTTCTCAGCAGCGACAATGGAAGAATAAGCAACAAGGACACCAACAAGACCAGATAATCACCATTCAGATACCACAGTCTGAAGGAGGAGAGAAAAGCCAAAAATCAACTACATGTCTAACTCAGAAATAACACACCACACGTGAAAAAGAACAGTTTTGAAAAAAAAAAAGCATCCCTTATTGGAGCAGACAGGACTAAGTCTGTAACCATTTGTTTCAGGAGCAGCCGTTCACTCAGGTTGGACACGGAGACGGGGGATGTAAAGCACACCAGCTTTTGTGCCACACTTTGCTCTGGGAAGATTGCCAGTTGATTCATAACATAAATGACTTCTTGCAGCTTGATACTAACATAGGGGACAAGGCTGCTCTATGCATCCAGAGAGGTTATCTCTCCAGACTCGAGAAAAACAGTACATTACAGTTCTCGATTGTAATTCCTAAAGCCACAGCAAGATTCCTCAGGCAAGTACATTCATTAATCATTTCAATTAAGGAAATTTCTGCTTAGATTAAAAATGCACAGGCAACCATTCTCCTCACCCCAAGTTAGACTGAACCAAATCCCCACTCAATCAGAATTTATTTCAGACTATCATTATAGCACCTTGACCCACCTTGATGCCAGAAAAAAAATACAGTCAAAAGGTCCTTTCTGAAACTAAACATGTTCCCTAAGTTCTAGCACTGTTTTCTTTTTTCTTTTTAAGTAATCAAGGCCTATTCTTGCTGGGCACAGAGGTACACGCACTTGCACATTTTGTGCCATAGGCAGAGGCAGGTGGATCTCTGTGGAGTCCAGGACAGGGAACTAAACAGGGAAACCCTGTCTGCAAAAAAGAAAAAAAAAAAAAAAGCCCATTCAAAAGCACTATTTTCAGGTTTAACTCCCCATGGATTCCATTCCACTCGTGGTAGTAACAAGGGCCCCACAGAAAAACTGTGCTGAAAGATCAGTGTGTTCAACCAAGTTTCCAAGGGCACCGTGGAGAGCCACACTTCTTAGCTTTGAGGGAGCAACTGTGTACAAGTTGGGAAGCAAATGGGCCTCAGCTGTTTACATAGGCCGTGCTCCTCCCTGGAATGGGTAACTCTGCTTGGAAGACAAAGTTCTAGAGCACAGCTGGACAGTTTCTGGTTTTCTTCATTAACTATTTTAAGTATGATTGGTTTTTTGGGAGGGAAAAAAAAAAACAAAAAAAAAACAAACCTGTCTTAAACTAGCTCTATATTCAGCAGCTGTGACAAATGTCAATACAGAGACAAATTCAAGCACTAGACAAGTTCTGCAGCCAGTTTTGTCTATTTGCTACCCCAAGTTAAGAGCAAACTGCTGCAAAAGCACTCATCAGTTTGTGGGGCACTTACTTCCCTGTCAGGACTAAGTACTGACAAGAATACGTGTGGAAAATTTATTGATGAACTGTTTTATATCCAACTTGACCAAAAAAAAAAAAAAAAAGTATCTGCAATTGTTTCTATGCAGTAACCTTACTGAGCACCTACCCATTTGTATCTTCAATGTTCATTAATGCCTTGATCACCAAAGGTAACTCATATTTCACTATGAAGAGGTAGCTTGACATAGCTGGAGGAAAACAAAATTAAACCATTACAAGTGCAAAATGTGGCCTGTGACAGTAAAGTCATTGTCACTGCCTTGTGCTATCAAAATGAAGCCTACCTAAAAGTGCCCTTTCAAAACACCTACCTCCAATGTTTTGCATTGTAATCGATCCAGAGGCTGCTAGCTTTCCAGCCAGTCCAAAAGCCTTATGGCCTAACTGTTCATATAATAAAGATCCTGCAATAAAGAACACAGAGAAATGAAATGTTTTGGGAGCTCTACCCCATGCCACATCAGAATAGCCAGAAATTATTGGGGACGGGGCGGGGATGGGGGGGGTGGGATTAAGAATGCTACCGTACCTCCTTCATTGGCAGTCTTCAAGAGGAGATGAACAGAATACAAGGAAAATATTGACACAAATGTCAAGAGAATTCTGAGAAAAAGGAAAAGGAATGAAGTTATAAATAAGCAGGGCTATCCATTTCACAACACCCCCCCCCCAGTCTATTAACAGCACTGGCAGTGGTCCCTCTCCTGCCTCTTGACTGACACTAACTCTCGAAGGTTATCTATCAGGTGAGCGTCAGAGTATTAAAAGCAATGTCCATACTGTGTCCAACACAGGAGACTCAGCCCCAAATCCCAGGGTACACACTGGTATTCTGGTTCTGGTACCATACTCATCTGTATATCTTCCATGTGTTCCTAATAGTTTCACTGAAAACTTGCCATTAAACTGTCCACAAGGCTTTTATGCCATTCAATAGATGGGTCAGGAAAGGCCAAGACCCCATGGACCAGACAGAGAGAAATGAGACTGGTGGAAGTGGAACGAACATTTAGTCAGACACTATTAAAAAAAATGTACTAACAAATCAGACAAGTGACCGCTGTGAAGACACAAAATAATTTACCACCCTACTGAACACTAGAATGAGTGAGTTATCAGTTCCATTCTTCCACTTGGATTGGAAAACTAAAGGGAGCATAAGGAAGGAGTAAGGGGCTCTAACACCAGTTTTCCTTGAGGGTATAGGTTTCTCGGTCAAGTTCCACTTTCCTTCTTCAATGGCAGACATTAAAAAAAAAGGGAAAAAAACCAGCAAACATGCAAATGAGATAGCCACATAAAATTTGACCTTGTATGGGCAAACTATACACTATGTAAGGTGGAAAAAAAAGGGGGAGGGAGGGCACCAGCACATAAAGTATAGGCTATGACTTAGGACACTCAGTTCTGAGGTGACACTATTCACTTGACCTGGGGGGGGGTCAATTTAATAAAAAATAAAATTAAAACAAATTAGGTACTATGTCCTACACAGACAGACTTTCTAACAGTAGATGTCATGCCCTTTGAGGTTACTTTCAACCTCAAAACTAACTCCCTTTAAAAGGTCAACTATAGCCATTTCAGCATGTGGCATTTGGTCCATTTACTTCCTTTACATATAATCTAAATATAGATGAATAAAAACTCACACAATCTTGGTATCATTTAGCCATTTATTAAAATGGTTAATTAAACACATAGTAAGCTATTAAAGTAGAATTCCAAAAGTTCAAGGGTAACATGGTTAAGTTTTACTTTCAGTTATGAAACAGAGTTGCCGATAACCACATTGGTAGCATTTTAAAACTTGTTTCCAGTTTTCATGGCAAGAGCTAGGAAGGGTATCAAATACTTAACTTTGGGTCCAGCCATTCAGATTCTCACCAAAAACCGAAATTTCGGGACGTTCTGTATCTAAAGTTCCTCCTGAAGCTTCACTTTGACAAGAAATGTTCCCCAAATCCTCACCCTTATGCTTCTGGTACCCAAAGTCAGTCTTAACATTAGTGTGGAATTTCACAAAGCTAAGCCATTTTATCATGCTGGAGAAAGTAACCTGAGTGGGAGGTAGCCATCAGCTAAGCAAAACATAACTGTCACAAAGGGAAGGGACAGTTAGTTGCACAGTGAGTGCGTGTTTGTTTCTCATCTCTGTGTAAGATTATAGTGACCTCAGAGAGGCTTCTATAGGAACTGTGTCATCTACAAGCAGTTTGAAACCGAAGACACAAGTGAATACCTCTTGCACTTGCGAACAACACTTTTTCTTGCTGCTTTCCTGTTGGATAGCACTGGGAATCATACCCAAGAAGCATCATGTACGTTGGCCAAGTACTCTACCATTGACTGGCACTTTTAGCTCATTACTCTTCAATCATAATAACCCCTAAGGGTCAGATACCCCAAAATGGGTAAGAACTACCACTTCCCAACCTCCAAACATGAATTCTGGAAACCAGAGGATCAGCCAATTAACTTAAAAAAAAATTAGTAGGTTCATATCTAAAATATTCAGGAATCACACAGATCTGGAAAAACATTTTCTTAAAAAAAAAAGTGAATTTGCTTTTTAGCATCCAGAAGATTATGACTCACTCGTGCTAAAACCAGTATGTTCTAGGCTAGGTAAATATCACCACACCTTTATCCAGAACTTTCTTTTCCTTATGTTTGTAAGGGCCACAGGTTTGGAGACTGTCAACTGATGAAACCTATTTGGAGCCACTTCACTTACTATAATTTTGGCTTCTGTTTTTAATCAAACATTACAGTTACTCTAGACTCCTCAATATTTCTTTAAACTGTCAGTTTTAAGTACTACCCAATCCTCTAACTTGCTTTCTTGATGCTGGATTTCTCCTACGTTACGTTTAAACGATTTTTTTTTTTAATCCACTATTTGAACTGTAAATTCTGTTTTCTGGAGCCAAGATAGGTTTATCATATTAACTGCCCCGCACGGCAGGCTCACTACTTACACATACTTACATAAAAAGAGCAATTCCAGTATTAGCCATGGCATAAGAAAGCCCAAGGATTCCACTGCCCACAATCGCATTGCTCAGATTAAATACTGACATTCCAAAGGAAGTAGTACCTGGATGCTACACAGAGGGAAAACGATAACCAAACATATAACAATAATTAAAAGGAGAAAAACCAGCTTTGGGCAAGTTAGATTTGAAATCTCAAAGTAACACTATTCTTTTACTCCATAAAAGCCAAGGCACATAATAGCATTTTTAACTTACAAAGTCTGTTTCATACTTCTTCTTCCCCAAATTTGATTCAAGTAAAAAGTTCTGGTTTTCAGGATCCACGTCCACATAATGGCTGAAAAAAAAAAAAAGTGTAACCTGACTGAGGGATACGCAAAATCATGTTTTAATATACATAAAGTAAAACAACCCTTTGGTTCTGCTACCGGACCTCGTAGTTAATCCCTAAGGAGTAATCACCCGGGCTAGGTCTCAGATACCGTCAGTCGTGCAATAACAACCGGGTAATTTAAGAGGCTACTTGCTATGTGAGCAAGCGGCTGGGGCCCCAGGGCAAGCCCCGGGTGTGATCGTTAGACAGTAACCGATGAGCCATCCCTCCAGCCCTGAAGCGACCATGTGTACAAGCTATTTTTTTTTTTTTTTTGCAAAGCGCACTTCTCCCACCTTTTCAGAGCAGCCTGCTTGGTGGGGTATGAGTAGTTGAAGTCACTGTTGGAGCTGTAGCTGCTGCTGTCCTCATCCGGGGAGATGTTGAACCTTCCCATTTCGGTCTTCCTCATGCTGATCGGGATCGGAAGTGTACACGGCGTCCGGCGCGGGGCTCCTTTTGTCCTTGGCGGTGCACTGGCCCTCGAGGCTGCCTGCCTGCCTGCGAAG